CCATGGGAACACACCGCGCCCCCGTGAACCCCAAACCTGTGCACAAGTCTACACCAGCACAGTAGATCCACTTCCTGACCAGGACATTTTAGTTGCTATTCGGCACTGCGCCACTTTAGCTGGTGATTGCGTGGTCATGCAATGCTCTACCCAAATAGAACCTTCTTAAGGTGGTATTTGATTACCACTGGGTTTTTATTTGTTGCGATATAAACATAAAAAGACAAAATTTAAAAAAAAAATTTTTTTTTACTTTGTTATAAAACCTCCAATAAACAAATTTTGAAAAAAAAACAAATTTCTTTATAAATTTTGGCCAAAAATGTATTCTGCTACATGTCTGGTAAAAAAAACCAAATCCCAATACATCTATACTGATTGGTTTGTATCTACAAATGATGATATATATCAGCCATCAGTAAATGACGGACCGAGCAGCACTCCTGTCCGGACCGTTGGCCCGCCAGACGAAAGTGCCTGATCGGCAGTCATTGGTTGCTGGGACCACGGGCATCCCAGCAACCAATGATGTCATGTGTGCGCCCTATGTTAAGCGCCGCTCTGATGGGCACATTTTATGTTAAAGGAGAATGACAGTCAAAGATCTTTTGGCTGTACTTCTATGGATCACAAGAGTGCAGTAAGTTCTGTGGCTGAAGCCCACTGTCGGCTGACATCACAGAGCCGGTCCAAGCTGGGGAAGGATCCCGACCATATGGTCGGGATCCCCCTCAGAGTCTGGAGTGGCAGCTGACTCAGCCTGTCTGCAAACCACTGAGCCAGCCACTCCCTCCCCTCAACAACACAGCACCCCAGTGAGCGCTGGAGGGGTTTGGGGCAGACAGTTGTGACTGACAGTTCGTGAGAACTCAGCGATTAACAGTTATGTGATCACTGAGGTGTTACCCATAGAGCCGGCGGGGGACAGATGCTGCATCAGACCGATGCTACCTTCACCTAGGTAAGTATAATTCTTAAAAACAAAAATCCTATACTTCTCTTTTAATTGAGGCCTAAGGCTAGGTTCACTCCTATGCAGGTTACGTTTCAGCCGTTTCTGCATTGCGTTTTGCACCTGCGTTTTTTGTGTTTTTTTTTTCTTGTTGCTAGGCAGATTTAAAACGCAAGATGCGGCAAAAACGCAGCAAAAACACAAAACATGCTTTTCTGCAGCATTTCCATTGAAGTCTATAGAACCAAAAACACAACTTTTGCGTTTAAAAAAAATAGTCCCTGACCCTTTCCAAAATATGCACGGGTGAAAACGCGGAGATGTGAACGTGCCCCATAGGAAGTCATGTTAAAAGGACTGTACTGCGTTTCTGCAAAAAGCTGCAGAAATTGCTTAGGTGTGAACCTAGGGTTAAGTCAGCCATTCACGGTACGAATTCTGAAAGAGATTTTTCTTTCGAAAATCCTTTCTAAGAATTTTTGTTCGAATTTTGCACCGTTTGTGGGTCACAGAAACGGCCGATTTTTGTGTGACCATCGAATCTGAGTGATTGGCATGTTGGAAATTTTTCGAAAAACGAACAAATTTCAAATCAATGATGGGAGAATCGTGCAAGAAATATAAAGCTGTGACCTGGAAAGGAAAGAAAATTCTTGGTCACGAAAATTCTTTTCTGTTGCAACATGAAGAGAAATTGAAGGCTTTGTTGGTCGAATTTCGAAATAAATGGTCGCACCATCGCATTACAAAACGCACAAAATTTCCGATTTTCTAATGAAAATTTGGTCGCAATTCGACCCATGTGTGGCCTGCATTGGATGGACTTGACTAACAAATTGAAGCTGAACTCCAGTTAATACTTTACAAGCAATTACAGCAGTTTTTTTCCTCCTTTTAGGATTAAAGTTTTACAGTCGTAAATGGTTTGTTTCAACCCTCTAACTGCCACGTTGTATGGATAGCTTGGTCTTTTAAAGGAAGCTGGAAAAAAAGAAACAAATTTGGGCTCCATGCATACGAGTAGTTTTTTATTATTAAGCTCAAAAAATTCTGAATTAAAAATACTGGTAGTAGCATTCTTACAGTACAGTTACACATCATTTATTGGGCAGCACAGTGGCTAAATGGTTAGCACTTCTGCCTGGCAGTACTAGGGTCGCTGGTTCAAATCCCAACCACGGCATCACCTGCCTGGAGTTTGCATGTTCTCCCTGTGCCTGCGTGGGTTTCCTCCGGGTACTCCGGTTTCCTCCCACACTCCAAAGACATGCTGGTAGGTTAATTGGCTCCTGTCTAAATTGGCCCTAGTATGTGTATGTATGAATGTGAGTTAGGGACCTTCCATTGTACGCCCCTTGAGGGTTAGGGACTGATATGAATGTACAATATATATGTAAAGTGCTGCATAAATTGATGGCGCTATATAAGTACCTGAAATAAAGTAAAAAATACAGTACATGTAGGGGGGAAAAATGCTAGAAAAAAGCTGATAGTAGTGTTGATCATTTTTTTTTCTGCTGGAAAACTCTACAAAAACATTTTTTTTTCTGTTCCTAAACGCTGAAACTTGAAAAATGCTACTAGTCTAAAACAGTGTGTATGGACTCGTAGGATAACACTATTTAGCTTCTAGGAGCAGAAAGAAATGCTGATAACAGCTTCTAAGCTCTTAAAAATCACTAGTGTGCATGGAGACTTAGGCTCCATGTACACGGGACACTTCTGAACGATGGAAACATTGACTGCTGGAAAACGTAGGTTAAAAAATGTCTGTTTAGCCGCGTTTGCATACCGCGTTTATGTGTGTTTGCATTTAGAAGTGTTTTTTAAAGATAACCTCAGGAGACCTTCCAAAATGCCCAGAATGCACTGAAAACAGTAAAATATTAACTATTTCAGACATTTTGAGAGAAATAGAGAGCAGAAGCAGAGAGAGCAGTATTTGTTGAGATTAGCTGTCTTTTTTTTTTTTTTGTGGTGTTTGGATGATTTCCATCTCGTTTCTGTGCAGGAGTTATTGCAGCAATGTCTAACATATTTTCTTTAATGCGAAACCTCATAGTATGGTGTACCGGGTCCATTTGAGTACCGGGAAAATGCTTTGCATGCATTTTTCATGATGAAAAAAGGCTCTGGACAGCATCTGGAAATGGAAGAGTTAAAAAAATGTTCCAAACGCTTATAAATGCCATTAGCTGCGTTTACAGGTGTTTACAGGCTGATAAAATCTACTCTAGTTTGGTGCATTCAAAAAAACGACAGTAAACTCAACTGCCTGTAAATGACAGTAAATGACGATGTGTACATGGACACATAGGAAAACATTAGGGAGAGTTCAGTGGCTGCTGAAAAAAATGCTGAAAAGCTTCTGAACGTGAGTTTATCAGCTGCAGTGTACATGGAGCCTTATTGCTTGGATAACCACGTGAAAAGAAAGGGAAAAATCCTTAAAAGAGAAAACAAATGCAGCCATCTAATCTACGAATTGGCAAGTTGCAGTTGAATACATTTTTTTTTTGGGTTTACTACTGCTTTAGGAATATCTGGGCCTAGGTGCACCTTAACCTCCCTGGCGGTATTCCCGGGTGTAGCTCGGGGTAAAGTTTCAGTACCACAAGCGGTAACCCCGAACTACACTCGGGAATACCATGCGGCGCTGCTCCGGGATCCCTACTTCACTTACCTTGTCCTTCACTCCCGCGATGTCCCTCCTGCAGTGTCCCTGGCCATCTCCTCCGGCGGATGCCAGCATCTGTCTTCTGGGTTCTGTCCCCTGCGACGTCGGGACATACGAGGGACGGAACGGCGGGAAATTTAAAAATGTCAAAAAGTGACATTCACTAAATACACTAAAATCACATAGTAAAACATTACTGTATCAAACCATTTCACATACATCTTGTCCCGAGTGCTTTGTCCTGCGCCCTGCCTGCATTTTTACTGTTCTTTCTGCCTGGAAACTGAGAAACGTCCATGGCGTCCAAAAAGCGTCCCTTTATGTCAAAAGCGGTTTTAGACCAGCTAGAGAACAGTGATAGTAAATTAGGACCACTTGCAGAATTGAGTGATAATGATTCGTGGGGAAATTTGTCATCAGACACTGAAAACGATTTTGCGACTTTGCTCAGTGACACCAATGATGGGGCACTATTCCTCCCACTGACACCAATGACACTTGCTGACCCCTGTTCCAGTATGGTGCTGCTGCAGCCAGCATATATAGTTGTTGCAGCAGCACCTCTGCACGGCACACTTACCGGCCGCTCCTTCACTCGATTTTTGCTGGGCCACTCGGCTCCGCCTCCTCGCTGGTGATTGGCCGCCTGTGTGCCTTTCCTGAGCTACAGTTCTGGTGGCCAATCACCGGTGAGGAGGTGGAGCCGAGCGGCCCGCGCGAACATTGAGCTGCAGAACTGAATGAAGGAGCAGCCGCACTTCCTGGACTGGGACCGGAGCCAGGTAAGAAACAGCAGCCCCCTGCCCACCCCTGTACTTAGTGTCCCTTCCGTTGGAAGGGGGGGCGGCGGCGGCGGCACTGCGCCCCCCTAAAAAGTGCCGCCCTCACACCAAGTGTCAGCATGCTGTATGCCGGCGTATAAGACGACCCCCGACTTTTGAGAAGATTTTCAAAGGTTAAAAAGTCGTCTTATATGCCGGAAAATACGGTAAATTATAATTTTTATGATTTCGTGTTTCAAATTGTAACATACGTGGGATGTTTACTAGATTCTTGTTCAGACAGATTTCAGTGAGTTATTCCTAAAAATTACAGGCCTACAATAAAAAAAAACGACATATTTCCATGCAACAATGTACCGCTTTGAGCACAGAAATACTGACATAATCAGACCACTAGGGAGGCCACGCATAGCTGTCACTGTCTTGGATGAGTCTACAGCGGAAATTGATTATAATAAGATGAAGGAAAACCAATTCTCTTTTGTCTGTTTAGATTGCTGATGTTGTAACTTTTTTTGTTTGATCGTTCCTTTTAAAGGGTGACCAACATCTTCATTGATTCACTTTCCGGCGTGCGTCTTCCGGATAGGTTTGTGGTGGCAACATCAGTGGTTGGGAGGAAGAAAACACTTCTTTTTTTTTTTTTTTTTTTTTTTTTTTTTTTAAATTTGTTCTCTTGCAAGAGACCAGCTTCAATTTAACTCTTAAGAAAATGACAGAATTTCTCTTCTGCTTCAGTTGCTGCATTGGAGAGCAGCCGCAGCCGGTAAGTTTACTACTTAATAATCTGTTGATATTTAAAATGGTAAACTGATATGTAAAGATGTAATATATAAATGTATGATGTAGAACTGGATGTGTGAATTGCTAATCTCCAAATACTCGCCTACATACTCTTGGGGTGCACTCACACTAGCACTTATAACCAGTCCCAAGCGCGGTTCAGCCCCCTTGGGTTGGTTAATTAGTGTGTTCTGATGGCTCCTAACCGTGCCCAGGACCGGTGAATCAAACCGCATCCGGGAACACTTGGAACAAGTGGTCCTAGGTGCAGTTCACTTGCAATCCAGGACAGTTTGCTGCAGTGTGAGTGCAAACCATGCCGGAGCACAGCTCTGTCCATAGAGAACTGTAGCTAAATGAGGGTTGCTGGTTTGGTTAGCAGGGGAGTGTGCCCGGGATCACTTTCTTAAAAACCAGGGTAAGTGCAAACCAGCGGGGGTGTGGGGGATCGAACTTGGGTACGGTTCACTTAAACCCCCTCGAGTGCGAGTACAGCCTTACAGAATCACACAACTGTAGTCAGCACTTTTGTGGCTGTGTTGAAAATGCCGTCCATTGCTGGGTTTAGAGAGAAGGTGCACATGTGAATGGTGATACCTCTTTGTAAAGGTTTTTTTTCTACTAAAGATCTTCTGTGAATAAATTGCTTTCATGAAGGAATAATGTGGTGCTTCTATTATATATTCGAGGAAGAAACACAAACCCTCTTATGTTGTGGTTGTGCACTGTTTTAGTTGTTTGGTACAGTATATTTGAGCAGAACTATCGTCTGCAATAATTGCCTGAACTTCAGGTTTGAGAATAAACAGGAAAAGTAGTGTACTTATAAAAGGTGAAGTAGCTGCTAATATCCTGAACCTAACTTTTAAGCTGGCCCTACCCTTGTCCAAAAGTGGAGTTCAAGCCTAACTCTACCTATTCTTAAAATGTTCCCTCCTACCTATTCTGCCTACCCTGTGTAAATAGAAAAAAGCCTATGCTTACCTTGTGGGGTTTTTTTTTTTTGTTTTATCATCCGCTTCGGTCCTGTCAGGTGATCCTGCAGCTCTGCTGTGTCAGTGATCGCTGCTGCAGGGGAGAAGAGGAAACTCTGACAATGGCTGGGCTAAGGGAGCCTATGGGTAACATCATGGCTCCTAGAATTCTCAGCCATTGTTGACAGAGGGGAGCCTGAACTGTGGGATCGGATGACTAGACTAAAAAATGTGTGTGTGTGCACAGTATATACTGTATATGTATGTGTATGTATAATATATATATATCTCAATGTAAAGTAGTGAGTGTACAGCTTGTATAACAGTGTAAATTTGCTGTCCCTTCAAAATAACTCAACACACAGCCATTAATGTCTAAACTGCTGGCAACAAAAGTGAGTACACCCCTAAGTGAAAATGTCCAAATTGTCAATATTTTGTGTGGCCGCCATTATTTTCCAGCACTGCCTTAATCCTCTTGGGCATGGAGTTCACCAGAGCTTCACAGGTTGCCACTGGAGTCCTCTTCCACTCCTCCATGATGACATCACGGAGCTGGTGAATGTTAGAGACCTTTTGCTCCTCAACTTTCCATTTGAGGATGCCCCACAGATGCTCAATAGGGTTTAGGTCTGGAGACATGCTTGGCCAGTCCATCACCTTTACCCTCGGCTTCTTTAGCAAGGCAGTGGTCGTCTTGGAGGTGTGTTTGGGGTCGTTATGTTGGAATACTGCCCTGAAGCCCAGTCTCCGAAGGGAGGGGATCATGCTCTGCTTCAGTATGTCACAATACATGTTGGCATTCATGGTTCCTTCCATGAACTGTAGCTCCCCAGTGCCGGCAGCAATCATGCAGCCCCAGACCATGACACTCCCACCACCATGCTTGACTGTAGGCAAGACACACTTGTCTTTGTACTCCTCACCTGGTAGCCACCACAAACGCTTGACACCATCTGAACCAAATAAGTTTATCTTGGTGTCATCAGACTACAGGATATGGTTCCAGTAAATCATGTCCCTAGTCTGCTTGTCTTCAGCAGAAGAGGCTTCCTTTTGGGACGACAGCCATGCAGACTAATTTGATGCAGTGGCGGCGTTTGGTCTGAACACTGACAGGCTGACCCCCCCCACCCCTTCAACCTCTGCAGCAATGCTGGCAGCACTCATACGTCTATTTCCCAAAGACAACCTCTGGATATGACACTGAGCATATGCACTCAACTCCTTTGGTCAACCATGGCGAGACCTGTTCTGAGTGGGACCTGTCCTGTTAAACCGCTGTATGGTCTTGGCCACCGTGCTGCAGCTCAGTTTCAGGGTCTTGGCAATCTTCATATAGCCTAGGCCATCTTTATGTAGAGCAACAATTCTATCTTTCAGATCCTCAGAGAGTTCTTTGCCATGAGGTGCCATGTTGAACTTCCAGTGACCAGTATGAGAGAGTGAGAGCGATAACACCAAATTTAACACACCTGCCCCCCCTTCACACCTGAGACCTTGTAACACTAATGAGTCACATGACAGCGGGGAGGGAAAATGGCTAATTGGGCCCAATTTGGACATTTTAGCTTTGGGGTGTACTCACTCTTGTTGCCAGCAGTTTAGACAGTGTGGTGAGTTATTTTTTGAGGGGACAGCAAATTTACACTGATATACAAGCTATACACTTAATACTGTATATTGTAGCAAAGTGTCATTTCTTCAGTGTTGTCACATAAAAAGACAGAATAAAATATTTACAAAAATGTGAGGGGTGTACTGACTTGCTATTCACCCTGAGGTCATCAGAGGACAAGGGGGCACTCTTTATATCTGGAGGAAAAGAAATTTAATCTCCAAACATGGAAAGGTTTCTTCACAGTAAGAGCTGTGAAAATGTGGAATAGACTCCCTCAAGAGTTGGTTCTGGACAGCTCAGTGGATTGCTTCAAAAAAGGCCTGGATTCTTTCTTGGATACACAGAATCAGACTGACAACTCATGGGGCCCCCGGGCAATAGGGGATCATGGGGCCCCTGTGTCCTTACCCAAACTCAAAAAAGCCTATGAAAAAGGTACTAGGGGCATCTCGTAGGGCCCCCTACTGACCCCGGGCCCTTGGCAGTGCCTGAGTTTCCAAATGGTCAGTCCGCCCCTGTACACAAGCCATTCTAAGGTATCAGATCAGGCAGGCCCTTGTACTACATAGTAGATCTGTAGAAGATTATACAATCAGATTGCATCGTGTATGGTCACCTTATCCCTGGTCTGCCCCTGCACAGAATATAACTGGATACTAACATTTATAGGTAAAGTTGATCCAGGGAATATCCGATTGCCTCTCGGGGGATCAGGAAGGCATTTTTTCCCTGCTGAAGCAAATTGGACCATACTTTTTTCTGGGTTTTTTGCCTTCCTCTGGATCAACTGTGGGTATAGGATTATAACTTTTTTTTTTTTTTTTTTTTTTTTTTTAATGGTAGAACTGCATGCACTTTTGTCTTTTCTCAGCCAGACTAACTATATGTGTGTGTGTGTGTGTGTGTGTATATATGTGTATATATATATATATATATATATATATATATATATATATATATATATATATATATATATATATATAATTATTTATTATTATATATTTTTTATTTTTTTTTGAATATAGTAGGGGAAGTCTAGAACCACTGTAAGATTGGTGGTATTTGTCTGTGTCCCTGTAGCCAGTCCCCCCTACCTCCATCTACTCAATTCTTTTCTGGTAATGCAGCAAATGAGAGGAAGAGCCAACATGGGTTCTAATCTTCTTTCACTTTATCTAAAACAAAAAAAAAATTTGGGGGCTTTCCCTAAACTTTTTAAGGAGACTCTGTTGGCAATTTCGCAAAACAGCAAAAGAAAGTCCCTGGGATGCACTAGTGCCATAGTGGCCAGCAGTTGGAACCAGATTGCGCAGTGGAGGATGCAGACATCTGACACACCTGGATATGTCAAATTCTCAAGATCTACTGACCTGTGAAGCTCTGCAAAGAAGATTGTTGGTGGTACAGATAAATGACATTCATTTTGCAGGTTGTCACCAAAATAAAAAAAACCTGTAAAGACCATAACTCCTATTCCTAATAATTTAACTGTGAAAAAAAGATTATGATGAAAAGACTTCCAGCATGATAAAAACAAGTTTTCTTGTAACAAAAAAATACATCTGCAAAAATAATGGTGGAATACTGATCTATGTATGTGGTTTTATCTGTTAGACTGTAAATATTTGGCATGCAATTCTCCATGATTTTACAGTGTTTGCTATTATGATTTCAAAGAGGCGAAGACGGATTGACAGAAGCATGATTGGAGAGCCAATGAATTTTGTCCATACTGCTCACGTAGGATCAGGGGATGCCAACGCTGGGTTTGCAACGGTAAGCAAAATACTGCAGCTGCTTGTTTGTGTGCTCGCTTGGTTTTGATAGTCCATAGGAGCAAGGACATGGCTCTGTATAGTCTGGCCTTACTCAGAAATCCAAACATTGGATGGGGCGGCCATTATCAATTATGATTATCGTTTTTTAGGAATAGTAGCCCTTAAAGTGGGCCTGCATTTAAAAAGGGAAGATAACTATGCTATAGGGAACATTCAGAGATGTTAATTTTGTTTAAATAATATTCTTCAAATGTACCCTTTTGACTTGTATTCCTCCTGAAAATTAGCAGTGCACTTCCTGGTATGTGAGGGTGCCTAGGCACTTCTGTATCTGTAGCCTAGCTGTATATATACTGTATGAAATCAAAGGCTCTGCTACATCTGACTGCTCCACTCTCTGTGGATAGGGAATTATATTATATAACCTATATAACATATTTATTTTGGTGTCCACAAGTAGTGATGCAGTTAGTTTAGTTATAAGCCTAACTCAATGTTTAATGTCCCTTTTTAAAGTATAACTAAAGGCAAAAGGTTTTTTTTTTTTTTGTAGATTTTGACCAAATGGAGAGGGATTAGAACACCTATTAGGTTTTTATTGTGGTCTGTGCCCCCATAAGGGGGATTCACCATCTCTATTTGTCCTGTTTACCATTATTGTCGAAAGTGAAAGTAAATAAAACCCCACATTTTGGGTTGTCCCCAGAAAAGCAATAGTGGGTAAATTTTTGAATGTGGACACTAGTTCTGGTTGCCTGGCGGTCCCCAAGGAATTCCCTTAATTTGTGGGGATTCTCTCACTTTCTATTTTGGCTATGGGACAGGAAGTGAAGGCAAGTCCCCCCAATGAGACACAGATGGCAAAAAATAAACTGATAGTGGCTATAGCCCTCACTTACTCTATCCAAAATGAAAAAATAGTTTTGCCTGTAGTTCTACTTTTAAATATTTTGTGTGGGCCAAGCTGGCCCAAAGAATTGTTCACTTACTGGGTATGCTGTATTAACTGTATGTAGCCTCAAGTACATACAGTATATGGTGCTGTGTTATGGCACTGAGATGGGAACTTCCTGTTCCACACCAAGAACAAAGCGCTCAGTCATTCACATGAAGCATTGTATTCTCTGAATACAATGCTTCCTCTGATTGGCTGAGGCAGAGTTTGTGACCTAATTCCCCAGCTTCTCCATCTCAGCCAGTCAGAAGAAGCTTTTGTATTTATTCAGAGAATACAAAGCTTCCCATGAATGGCTGAGCAGTGCCATCCCTGGAGTGGGATGGGAAGTTCTTGTCCTACTGCTGTCACACAGCATGTAGCAATGACTATGTGCAGTTTTACTGTAGCCCTGCAAGCACACCTGTTAGTACAGTTCGTTTGGGCCAGCTTGGCCGGTATATGGTATAGCAACATTAAACATGAAGTTAGGCTTTAAACTTGTTGTAAAAGCTCAAGGTTTTTTTATCTTAATGCATTCTGTGCATGAAGGTAAAAAACCTTCTGTGTGCAGCAGTGCCCCTAGCCTCCTCAATACTTACCTGGGCCCCATCGCGATCCAGCAATGTGCACGACAGCCTCGGCCATCCCGGGTTTCTGTCTCCTCAGTGGCTAAGGCAGCAAGTGGGAGCTATTGGCTCCCGTTGCTATCAATTACAGCTAGTCAACCAATGAGGAGGAAGGGGGGGGGCAAGCCATGGCTCTTGATAGAAAGGAGGAGCCAGGAGAGCCTGTGGGGGACCCAAGAAGAGGAGGGTCTGGTCTGCACTGTGCAAAACCACTGCACACAACAGGTAAGTGTAACAAGTTTTGTTATTTTCCAAAAAAAGAATATGAACCTTCTAGTATTGCTTTAAGTATGTCAAGGAATTTACCTTACCACAAAAATGACAGGTGCCTCATCTGTCATCTGTTCCCTGTGGACTGCTACCCCTTTCTCCCTTTCAACCTGTGTATAATTCTTTGGCCAACCTGGCACAAGTTGCATATCATTGGGACCTGACCAAAGTCTGGGGCTTGTGGTTGTTTCTCTGTACCCCTGGGTAGGGAGTCTGTATCCTTCTTTTTACTGTTGATTAGATATGATGGGAGTGATTTTAGTGAAATTGATTTCACCATAGAATTAAAATTAATTCTTTAAGTTACATAAACAAAATTGTTGCAATTAATTGAATTATTTGTTGAAGTAATCTAATTGTTGCAACTAGCAGATTTGCAAAACAAAACCTTCCGCTATGATGACCCTCCAAGCCATTCCTAGCAACCAAGCTGGAGGCTAATTATGCATATTCAAGTAAAATCGATTTGGCTACTCCGATCATCCCTACTGTTGATGGATTGGGTTTCTGCTATGAATCCCCTTTCATTTTCATAATTGTTTGTGAATTCTCGTAGGAAAAAAGTTGTACTTTTTGTGTGTAGTACACGATTACACCCTTTTGGAAAATGTAAATGTAAAAAAAATCAGGTGTTCAATCAAGGCTATCATCTGCATTAATATTCCTCTAAGTTGGCTATTCTAAGACCTTTAATATCTGAGAAAATCTGAGCCAGAATCCTTAGCAGCTCAAAAGGCAATGAAAACCAAAACTCTGTGACACGTTCAGAAATCTGAAATTTCTCAGTACACTTGCCAGCTAGCCTGAAAAAAAACAATTTGACCCTGTCTAATGATACACGTTAAAAACAAAAGGTTTAGTTGCACACATTTGCAAATATATGAATCCGCAGTGCCTCACCAAAACTCCTCTGCATAGTGCAGCCCTAACTCTGTAATTTGACAGTCTCCACGTTGAAGCATATGTAACAATGGATACATTGAAAGAAGGTATGCCCACCCCTCCTTAAAGGTGCAAGGACACACTAGAAGCTCAGCAAGAACACAGTGGTGCCTGGAGGCATCCAATGACTGTCTTACTGCTTGTGGATGAATTTGGTGTTGAAGTGGCTAATTAGTTTACCTGTTACTAAACCCAGGACCCTGCATTCACTATATCCAGTCTTCCACAGTACACAGAACATGGAAATGCACTTATTTTTAGTAAATGTAAACTGTTAAATATCTTTTCTTGTCAGCAGTATACAGCAGTCTTGTGACTTTTATCAGTGTCCAGCAGAGCACTGGTTAATCTTGTAGGAGGGGTTTTCATTCTCCTCTGATTGTCCTCAGAGGCTGTATAACCCCTAACCCTCTGTCTGGACAGCGCCCTCCTCCCGAAAAAACTCTCTAGCAGTACACACCAAACAGAGCATGTGCAGACTGCTGCTGTAGCTATGGCAGATGGATTGGGGACTGTGGAAGAAGGGGAGGATCATAGAAGACGGGAACAAACAGCCTTTTCACACAGTGCAGAGGATTAACCCCTCTGGAATATTAATGCAGATGATAGCCTTGATTGAACACCTGATTTTGTTTCTACATTTACATTTTCCAAAAGGGTGTAATCGTGTACTACATACAAAAAGTACAACTTTGTTCCTACGAGACCATAGTGACACTGTACTACTTGTGGGGGGTGATGATTTTTTTTTTTTTTTTACACTGTTTGCTTTTACACCCATAAAGGATGTAAAAGCAATCATTTCTCCTTCTCTCTAGCTGCATTCTTGCAGCCATTGAGAACTACTGAGTGAGCTGTGATTGGTCACAGCTTGTCACATGGTACAAGGCTGTTGTGAATAGCCTTGTACCATGTGACCTCTGTGATCATTCACAGATTTCACACGTAGTAAGCAACGATGTCACAAGTGACATCATGCTTACTACTCTGCATGTGATCAATGATTGGTCAATCAGTGATCACATGATCGGGACCTCGTACAGAGGTCCCGTCTGACGATCGGTGTTCCACTGTGTGGAGGACACACCGGTCACCGAATCACGGTGCTGCGCACTCCCAAGGAGCACGCAGAAGCAGGGTGCAGGGAGGCCGTTTATAAACGGCTACCGGACCCTGCACTGCCACCGTCCGGCCGTTTATATACAAAGGCTGGACGGGAGGTAGTTAAAAGCTCAGATTTTTTTTTATTTGCTCTATTGCTCCGTTAAATGCATAAGGATAAAAAAGATGAAAATTAGATAATGCGATATTTTAAGTATACTATAGTGAAGGAAATAAGTATTTGATAAGATTTGAAGAGATGCATGTCTAACAAATTATGCACTGATTTGCTTGTTCATGAGGGGAAATAAGTATTTGATCCCATATCATTCAGCAGGATTTCTGGCTACCAGGTGTCTTTCATACAGGTAATAAGCTGAGATTAGAAGCAGTCTCTTAAAAGACTGTATAAAAGACACCTGTCCACAGGAGCAATCAAACAATCAGATTCCAAACTCTCCACCATGGCAAAGACCAAAGAGCTGTCCAAGGATGTCGGGGACAAGATTGTAGACCTACACAAGGCTGGACTGGGCTACCAAACTATCGCCAAGCAGCTTGGTGAGAAGGTGACAACAGTTGGTGCAAATGGAAGAAACACAAAACAACTGTCAGTCTCCCTAGGTCTGGTGCACCATGCAAGATCTCACCTCGTGGAGTGTCAATGATCATGAGAACAGTGAGGAATCATCCCAGAACTAAACATAAGGATCTTGTCAATGATCTCCAGCCAGCTGGGACCACAGTCACCAAGAAAACAATTGGTAACACACTACGCCGACCAGGATTGAAATCCTGCAGTGCCCGCAAGGTCCCTCTGCTCAAGAAAACACATGTCCAGGCCTGTCTGAGGTTTGCCACTGAACATCTAATTCAGTGGTTCTCAACCTTTCTAATGCCGCGACCCCTTAATACAGTTCCTCATGTTGTGGTGACCCCCAACCATAAAATTATTTTCGTTGCTACTTCATAACTGTAATATTGCAGTGGGAGGACTAGCGCCCCATCACTGATGTCAGTGGGATGAATAGTGTCCCATCGTTGGTATCAGTGGGGGGGAATAGTGCCCCATCGTTGGTGTCAGTGGGAGGAATAGTGCCCCATCACTGATGTCAGTGGGAT